CACTGTGGTGTTACATGGGTATGAAGCAGTGAAGGAAGCCCTGATTGATCACGGAGAAGAGTTTTCTGGGAGAGGCAGTTTCCCAGTGGCTGAAAAAGCTAATAAGGGATATGGTAGGTGTGCAGGTGCTTGTGACACCATTGGTAATGGGGGTGAGAAGGATAAAAATCTTCTAGGCTAGATCTTGGCTCCACGAGGAGTTTCTCCATGTCTGCTTCTTCTTCCTTTATGGGGTTCTCCCTAATTTCTGTTTACTTGATCTGTTAGGAGTTATTTTCAGCAACGGAAAGAGATGGAAGGAGATCCGGCGTTTCTCTCTCATGACCCTGCGGAACTTTGGGATGGGAAAGAGGAGCGTTGAAGATCGTGTTCAAGAGGAAGCCCGCAGCCTGGTTGAGGAGTTGAGAAAAACCAAAGGTGGGTGACTCGATTCTGTATCAGTAACATTAGCAGACTGGTTTCTTCTCAAATGATGTCATAGGAGATACTTAAGGGGTGATCGGATCTTTTTATTATGGGGCCTGGTTGTCAGCCCTCATGTGAAGGAAGGAAGTTTGAAACAGAGAGCCAAGGGAGCATGTGTCTATCTATGCTGTATGTGTGCAGGCATCATTGTGCATAAAGGTATAAAAGGCTCCTTTAATCCAATTTCCTCCTAAATATTGTTTCCTTGTTTTCAAATCATAAATTATGAATATTGGTTTTGAGTTCATTTTTGAAAAAGGTTGGAGAGTGATGCTTTCCCCATAGCATAAAGGTGGCTTACCTATTCCAGAATCTCGCATTAGAGACTACTTGGCAGTTGAACATGGTGAGAATGACCCCATCACACCTTTATGGAGCATGAATCAAGTGCATGTGCTTTCATTTAATTTGACTATTTTTGTAAAACCAGCCTCACTGACATATCTATGGAATTGCTTTCAGGCCTGTGTCTACAATTCTGGCTAGTAATGATATTATGTAATGCTTTTACTTGCTTAGGCATATCTCAGCACCGTTCACATCAATTATTAGTTCTCTGTAAGCATTATTTAACAAATATATTTAACAAATATAAGCACTATTTAAAAGTATAAGCACTAATTGTTTTTTGGTACTCTGTTGAAATATATACTTTGAGAAAATATATGGCATGACATAATTCTACAAATTACAGAAATCCCTATGTATAAAATGATGTATTTAACTAGATTTTACCTACTATCAATAACTCTATAAATTTTATTCCCTAAGTATAATTTGGCTTTGCTTTCGGTTTTCCTTGTCTTTCCCCCCCATGTTTATAGGACTTGTGCTAAGATATTTCTGGCAATTTATTTTCTTACCACTGCCAGCTTGTCACAATGAGTCTCATTATCAGCTCAGATTCCAAATTACTTTTCTAAAATTTTCAATTCTACATGAAGTGAAAGATAGAATGAAAATCAGATTTATCTGTGAATCTCTCTCTCTCTCT